TCTACTCTCTCCCTTCCTCTTTCTTCTGGTAGTCGACTGGATTATGAAGACCTCGACATCTGAGGGAAAACACGGAATACAATGGACAGCTCAAAATCAATTAGACGATTTTGACTTCGCAGATGACCTAGCCCTCCTATCGCATACACACGAACAAATGCAGATAAAGACAGCCAGTGTAGCAGCAGTCTCTGCATCAGTAGGCCTCAGCATACACAAAGGGAAAACTAAGGTCCTCAAATTCAAAGCGGAGAACAGTAATCCAATCTCTTTTGATGGCGAAACTCTGTAAGATGTAGAATCCTTTACATACCTCGGAAGCACCATCTATGAACAAGGAGAATCGGATGTAGACGTAAAGGCGAGGATTGGCAAAGCAAGGACAGCATTCCTACAATTGAAGAACATATGGAACTCAAAACAACTGTCAACCAATATCAAAGTCACAATCTTCAATACGAACGTCAAGACGGTTCTACTGTACGGAGCTGAAACTTGGAGAACAACAACCACCATCAAGAAGGTACAAGTATTTATAAATAGTTGTCTACGCAAGATACTCAACATCCATTGGCCGGATACCGTCAATAACGGCCTTTTGTGGGAGAGAACAAACCAGCTTCCAGCTGAAGAAGAAATCAAGAAAACACAGTGGAAATAGATAGGATATACTTTGAAGAAATCATCAAACTGTATCACGAGACAGGTGCTAACTTGGAATCCTGAAGGGAAGGCCAAAGAACACATTATGTCGCGAAATAGAAGCAGATATGAAAAGGATGAATAATGACTGGAAGGAGCTGGAAAGGATTGCCCAGTACATGGTTGGATGGAGAATGCTGATGAGCGGCCTATGCTCCTTCACGAGGAGTAACAGGCATAAGTAGGTAAGTAATATATATATACCCTTTTTTTAATCGTAAGAAGAGTGGGTAATATACAAGATTTTCATGGTGTTCTTAATATCTAGTTACTGATTAGATACGACATCATATTGCAAACAGTTCACATTTACAGATCATCTTAAAATGAGAAATGTTATGCTCTGTTGGTCAATGTTTTACTCCATCCTAAACTTATCAAATATAAATTGTTCTATATTCTCTGCACACAGTTTATTTTAGACTTTTCAGAAGCTCAAAATATAATACTGACGTCAGATTCATTTTTGTTCTAATCACGTTCTGTTTAACTTGAGATTTTAAAGAAACTTATATTTTTTAATATTGTCGTGCAGTATACTGTGAACTATGAAATTGGCAATAATCACTTTATTTTGTATCCATTGTTTTCATTCATTAGTAATTTTGATCACAGTATGGGGTACGAAGTATATTTTATTTTACACAACAGGTTAATTCTCTTCTTAACTGGATTATAACAAACGATGAAAGTGAATTCCCTACAACAATCGGAAACAATAAGCCCAACGACTAAATCATGGTAAACAAAATAATCTCTTAATCCAAAGATTATGGTCAATATCTGATGAGTAATAAGTCGCATCGTGGCCTAAAACTATCCAAATCCTGACAACATGTCAGAAAATAAACATTGACAAGAAATGGAGGTGAATAGGAAGTTTCGTGATTTACGGTCAGCACTTGTCATTCAAGGAAGATCAATTTTCCTGCTGATTATGATAGTAGGATCATGCAAAGGCGAAAGTGAAGTAATTTCATCATAACACTAACACTTACTTGAATGTATGTAAGCCATCTAATAAGTCTAAAATAAAATTAGATTGGTGCTTCGTGCTCCACTAAAAATGTTCCCATCATGATACAGTCACAGGCTCTCTCGCTCTATATATACTCTTATTAAAAGACCGTACACCAGCATGAATTTAATAATTTAGTCATGGAAATTAACAATAAGAGGTCTTAAATCCTAATAACTTTGTACAGCCTTTGAACGAAAGATGAATAATTCAACACAACAGATTGATCGCGTAATGGAATGATTGTTTAAAGTGACAGATGCTAGCATTTAATTTTGTTAGATGTTCAAAGGCACATCGCGATATAAAGATTCAATTCACAAGTATTTATTTTATTTATTTATTTGAATACCTAAATATTGGTACGAAGAGGCACCGAATACATATACGCCACACAAGTCACTTGATTTGTGTGTGGACTATGATACCAACCGGGTGCCCAAACGGAAACACATGGTTTTCTTAGGGGGCCACACCCAGAGCCTTTGACCTAAAGGTCTGATCCACAAGGCAGTGGAACAACGTTAGGAGATGCACTCCCATGGTAGCCGGCAAAGCAACGACTGGTTCATACGCCATTTGTTCCCTCAGGATATTGGAGCCCATGTGTATCATTGGTTTAGAATCAGGGTTTTACGACTCCTCTAAGTGGATGCTCCGTACCCACCAACCCGGTTAAAGCGCCGGACATTCGCTTTCCGTCCTCTCGATTTCTTAAATAACACCCCCACCTAGAGAAGGCAGTGGGTAGGACTTCCGTGGCAGTGGCTGTATACGTGTGGCCACATGAGAGCATTTTGAAAGGGTGAGCTGACTCTCCCCACCTTCGGCCGTACCGGGGCATTTGGAGGCAATTCTCAAGTAGTCAACATTTCATATATTGCTTCCTTACAATCTTAAGGAATCATTTTGAAGATCACATTTCATACGTCTAGTTTCTAAAGAGATGGTTTACTCAAGTGATTAATTATCAAGAGTGGTGTTCAGAACTTTGATAGTGTTTGGCAAGATTGGAACCAACTAAACGAATAAATCGAAAGTTCTGCATAAACCATAAATCTCAATAAAAAATGTCTATTCACTAAAGTCTAGACTAGAGAGGAATTCCGGGAGTTCTTTTGAGAATCTGTGACCACTGAGATCCACCCATGTTCGGAGTGAGATAGGTTTCAATGTAATAGATGATGGTGGGTCTTTATCAATTAATTGAGGTTTGAAATATCCACCAATGGTTTCATACCAAGTGGTCAATAAGAATCCTAATAAAGAATGAAGGTCCTAGGTTAGTTCTCGTTTAGAGCAGTAGGTGAGCATTGTTGTTCAGTACTACCTGATTTTCAATAGTCCACAATAAAAATTACTAATTCAAACTTTAAAAATATAACTATCTACTATTCACATGATCTGAAATTCTTGTTTTCTATATTACTCCATCAAGAAACGGAACATCTATCCATAACCCTAACCTTATCGACTGTTTTTCATTTGTAGATCATATCTTATAATATATATTAATCATATTAATCTTTACCGCAACTTAATCTAATTGTAATTACTCAGTACAGTTTACTAGTTATCTCATAATTAACTTTATTGTATTTGAATCATCTTCACCACAGTTTTGTCAAATCAATAAATATGTTATGATTTAATATGTCTAACACACTCATAACCAGTTTTTAAATCATGAAAACGGATTTTAGTAATAATTACTTTAAAAATGGAAACTTTAATTAGTGATATGAAAAGTATCATTTAGTTGGCTAATTAATTGATCGATTTTAATTCCAACCAGAATTGGAGAACAAATTTGAAAAACGTATTTCCAATCAATTCTAGTGACATTCTTTGTATCTCTGTTCACTGATTCACAATACATTATAAACTTATGTACATACACCCACATAGGTGTATCTATACACATAACATCTGTACACAAATTCCACTTTTAAGTGTGCATAAATATGTCTATCACTATATCTCTATCAACCCTCATTTTACCCACAAGCCCAGAGATCACCCGCATATGTAGTTAAATATGTGCGTTTGTGTATATGTGCACTAATCAATTTGAAATAGTCAAGTTGAAAAGGAAATGATACTAGTCTGTGCTTGTATCTCCTGTGGATTTAGTTGCTGTGGTCCATTATTTTTCACAGACATGACCTCGGCCACATGATAATCAGATTATTGGCTTCATACTCATTGATTACCACCCCCCTCTGCTCTAGAAACTTATTTAGAACTCTGGACGTGGGTGAACGCAGATGAAACATGCATAAACTTTCAAGCTGTCTCCCATTGAATTCACATTCCATTTTTTGAGCTGTCTAAAGTCTGGGTTTAGCTCTGCCTTGGTCCTATCGATCCATGTATTATAACTCACATGAATGGGTTGCTGTGTGTTCTTTAGAAATGATAATAAGGGTGGTAGCATCCCGATTCAGGAGAATGGCAGAACGGGAGTAAGGGTGATGGTGAGTTTGAGTGGGTGAGTACTTTGTAAGGGTGTAGAAAATTTTTGGGTGTGTGTGAGCGTATGGTCACCAGTGCTATGAAGGCAGGAGCACAATAAAGGCACAATTCCATAAGGCCAACAACTAAATTGTAAATAACAGTGATTGCACACCTACACACAAACTGAGAATAATGGATACAGTGACTGATTTTTTCACTCTCAAAGCTTGCTCCTCTAACCCGTGCACTGGCTCACAAATATACAGTACCCATTAACGAATGGGTTGTGCTGCCTAAATCAGGTTGAAGCTAGCTGTAACATAGACTAACAGACAGACAGCACACCCATCTGTCGATAGAGTAAAGTGGATTATTTGGCACTTCCGTCTATCATAAATCAGGGGACTGATAATTTAAATCATATTTATAGAGACAGATTGGGACGTCTTACGTTTATCACGTTACAAACTGTGCAAGAAAACAAAGACAAACACTTTGTGTATAATTCAAATATTGGAATTCATTTTAAAATCGATAAAACCAAGTATTTGAAAATTTCCTATCGTATTAACAAAGTGAGTTATTTATTGTGTAATATTCAGAATTATGATAATCAAACATTTGAATGTACGAGTTCAGATTTTTATCATAAACTGATAATATTCAAATATTTCACAGGTTGAAATCATGAGTCAGTTGAAGCTAGACCACCATGGAAAACTTGGAAGCACTGGACGGCCGTTTCGTCCTAGTATGAGACTCCTCCATGGTGGTCTAGCTTCAATTGACTCATGATTTCAACCTGTGAATTTTCTAAAAAATCTCCACAAAACCCATTCTGATAATATTCAAATATGTATTATAAATTAGTGAGTGGTACAAACTTATTAAGTTCCTCAAGAGGATTTTTCAGATATACACATCTTGAATTCAAACCTAGATATATGAGTCTTCAAAAGGGATAATTTATTTTTTAAACCATCAAATTAAATTCTGCTATGATATTTCCATCCTAATTCTCTATAGAACTGTAATATTGAGATCCTATGGGAAACTTAAGCATGATATAATGGTTAAAGATAGTTAGTAAATATAGATTTTAATAAATGTGCTTCTCTTCGTTAGAAAATTGATTTATTTTTATAGACATGATGATGAAAGTTGAATGGAAACGGAAATTAAGGTTTGACTCACACCGTCTAACTTCATCACGTATCTAGAGTAGAGTCTAGTGTTCGCAATCAATAATTTGAGAAAATTGAAATACAGGAAGTATCCATTGGATTAACGATCTGATTCCCTGAAGTAGTCTTATATATATATGACTGGTCAAATATTGATATCTGCCCACTTCCCTACTCTTCCTAAAAGTTTTGTTTCGAATAATTACATATTACAACATAAACTTTCCCCTATAGTTTAGATTTTCGTTCCACCAAAGTGAATAATTGATGCTTTTCATGGTTTTCTTTGACATTTAATAACTTATACAAAAAAAAATAATGAAATGAATAAGTTAGGATAGAAAAGTGATTCATGAAAATTGTAATGTTTGTAACTGGTAGTCAAAAAATATTATTACTACTGATCAACCTGAAGGTATTTTTGGTCAAAACTGAATAAAAAATTCTAATGATTTCAAAAACATTGTCAGTAATATTCGGATAGAAGATGATGAAATAATGGCAAGTTTTGATGTTTGCTCATTGTTCACTAATGTTACTATTAAAAAAGCTTTAGATATTGTATATAATCTGTTAGATTCTGACATTGAACTTAAACAGCGTTGCCGTCTAGACCCAACAGACATTATTAGAGCGTTGGAGCTTTGCTTACATTCAACGGTTTTCATTTTTCGAGGAGTTTTGTACAGACAAACAGAAGGTGTGGCTATGGGATCACCTGTCTCTCCAATTGTGGCTAATTTATTCATGCATTCATTGGAAACAATTGCTATCTCAATGTGTTCCATTCCACCCAAAATTTGGGTAAGATACGTAGATGATACCTTTGTCATCATAAAACGAGATGGCTTAGACGAACTATTCCAACGGTTCAACAGCGTAGATGACAAAATCAAGTTTACTAAAGAGTTGGAATCGACTGAACGCAGATTACCGTTTCTAGACTGCCTGGTTGAAAGGAAGGATAATGATTTTTTAAAAATTAATATATTCCGTAAGCCTACATATTCAGGAAAATTTTTAGATTTTAAGTCTGCGCACCCACACGCGACCAAAGTGACAGTGGCCAAAAATTTGATCACCAGAGTCAAAAAACTTGTCACTGAACCAGATGATATAAAAATGGAAATGAATTTAGTTGTATCCACTCTATTAATGAATAATTATCCGAAAGGTTTTATTAAAAGAATAATTAAGAATGAAGAACGGGATGATATTTTTAAAAAAAGAGTTAAGCAAGATTGGATGAATACAGTAGTGATCCCATATCGTAAAGGTATCTCAGAAGACATCAGAAGGATTTTAATTCGTCAAAATATAAGAGTATTTTTTCGAACAAACAATACTCTAAGATCAAAACTAGTAAGAATCAAAGATCCAATACACAAGGATGATCAACAAAATTGTGTTTATGAAATCAAATGTAATGATTGTAATGCAACGTATGTAGGTGAAACATCAAGACAACTGAATGTGAGGGTGAAAGAACACAAACTGTGCTTAAAGCATATTCCTAAATCCTCAATTGATGTAAAAAAGCTTGAGAACAGATCAGCGATAGCATTACATTCAATTGAATCGGGTCATACAGTTGATTTCAATGGCACGAGAATCATTCAAAAAGGATTTAATTCTTACAAAGAACGCCTAACAGCTGAAGCCTTACATATATGGGCTAATTTAAACAATATTAATAGGAGAGATGGAATACAATTAGCTGCACCATGGCAACTAATAATTAATAAGTAAACCTGATCTCCTTTTTGCAATTTGATATATCTATGCCATAATAACTAACTGATAGATAATACGTTCAATGTTTCAAATCCGTGATCCTATCTGAATATGTTAAACTATTGACTGGAACATTAAAATAACACACACTTTCAATTACACATACATTCCTCTTTTATTTTGTTTACTTATCTTCATTTAATGCAGGCTGTAGCATTTTGATTCATTTCATACATAAAAATGATTTGTTTTCTTAATATACACAGACCGTAGTCAATATTAAGTTGAATGAAATTTTTTCTCATATCACTTGCGTATAAACACATTCTGTTATCTTAACACGTTTTGGTTCCAAAAAACAATTTATCATAACCTTGAATTTACCTTATAATCCTTAAGTCATTCTATGGCCTAGGATAACATGACAATTTCTTATTTTTCTCTCCCCTTGATTATTTTCAAATGAACTTTTATTTTATTTGTTTGACCTTTATTATTTTTCATATAAACATGTCTCTTACACATTAATACAAATACCTATCTATAAAGAAATCCTTCACGTCGATTGGATGACTTATTCAGTGTACAGTAAACCGAAGAACCATGTACCTATTTATATTCGATAATTTTGTTGTTTGATTATATTTTCCTTGAAAAAGCTTGGACCAGATTGCCAGGCGAAACGTTGGATTTACTTAAAAATTCATTCGCTGAGATTTTACAAATATATTCTTCTTTTTAATGAAGAACTACTTCTGTTTATGTGAAAGATATTACGAAACAGCAGAGAGTTAACACGTCCTAGTTTAAAAAAATTTTTATTTAAGAATATTGTTAATTCAGTTACGATGCAACCAGATCTCGCGTTCAATATGCCACAATTTGGCAACAAATGTTTCATACCTTACATACTTAACTAACTGATGATATAGTCGATTATCACAGATGCTCATTCGGATTGTCACATACAAAAAGTTAAATATAACTATTGATTAGTTGATAGTTATGTCATAATTTATGACAAAAAGAATATTTCCATTCTCAAAGACTATAGAATTCATTAGAAATGAATACCAAATAAGTGACGAACGTATAAACTAACATTAAATCAAATTCTCATAGTCAGTAATGACGTAAATTGAGTTAACAACCTACAACATGGAGTTAGTTATATAGATGAGTTGTTCATTTGTTTTTAGATGATTGGATATATATCTGTATATATATTAATGAAAAATTACTAATATTTAACTATTTTTTACTTTAATTAGATCGAGTTGTTTACATAAATTAATAATCAAATAAAATTTCTTACGTTAGGTTCATACTTTTAACATTCAAATTAAACTGTTGTCCTTTAAGTGGATGGCGTTTATCAGTGATTGAAATCAACTTGGATATAATCGAAGACCACGGAGCACTAGTATACAGTTCCTCAGGAATACTACTTGGAACCAAACCCATTTTTCGAAGCAAAAGCGTTATCCTTACTCCACTAAGTTAACACCCTTATTTTAAACTTTTAACCTAACTTAAAAATTTCACATAACCCCACGATTAATCATTTAAACCGGGTTACTATCTCTTAACTTTTTGAAATGTTAGTCAGTAGGCGAAAATGTTTTATAACTGTTGAGTTAAGCCGCATTGGCTTTGAATTTTTACCACTAATGTGTAAGATTCAAATTGTCCATTCGGACATAGTGTCACACTATATAGCTTGTAGGTAGTGTCATTTTACAAATTATACAGTCATATTTGTTGAACATTTAAATGAGTCTATCTTTAATTCAGCATTATCTTGTAATGCTTAATAATAGGATTTTAATAAAAGTTTGGTACGTTGATCTAGACTTGAATTCATGACTTGTTAATTAGAAGTTAAAAATCTTTAGCATGTAATCTACCTCTACATAATTGTCTATGTAACATTAGTAAACAAGTATATTTTCTTTTGCCATATAATTACATAATATCCGAAGTGAACAACATGAAGTTATACTAACTAGAAATATTTTCAGGGGTTTATAAAATTACCATTTTTCTCACTTATCTCTATTAGTTTAAGTGTACAATATGTTTGCTATGTAGACTGAAATTTAAGATTCAATTTTAAGTGAACTAATGTTCAGATAATATTAAACTTTCAGATCAGAATGACAAATCAGTTTTACTTTTTGCTTGTAGTTTACTGGACAACGGAGTTGGACACCCAGTTTATGGCTGTAATTAATTCCATATCTATTTTTAGAATATCATACAAAAGTTTTGTAGCACAAGTTTGTTAACACTGAATCTGTGGTAAACAAATGTTTATGATCATCTACTTACAACACATCCATGACATTTTGGTTACGTTATTATTAACATAGATAACTGGTGATTACTACGTTATGATTACTGACTATGAATAGAAAAATTTACATATATTTAGTTTTTTTAATGTAATGTCTTTCCAATAATGTGGTGTAGTCAGTAATCTAACTAGACATATTTTTTAATCAGTGCTTTATGTTACTGAGATCTAGTTACCTATTTTAAGCACTCTTACTTATGATGCTAAAATTTAAAACATAAGTTTAACTGATATTGGAAGTTGAAGAAAACTATAGTATTTTTGTTTATAATTATCTATAATACTTTGTCTAACTGCTCAATAAATCAAAATTCACATTTCAATAGATGTCTAGTCACCTCTCAATAATATTGATTAAAATTGTGAACTCGTAATTAGATGAACATGACTTCTATCTTGTTATGACTGAAAAATATGCGTACTGTTTTATTTAGATGCATATTTCGGTGAATTATCAATGTTTAAATGTTCTCACATTTTATAAAATGAAATGCAAACTATATGCGTATCTATCACATTACTATTGGTTAAATCTTGTAAGGATATCGAAATAGCGGGAGAAGGTTGAACTAGAAATCGCTAGATAGTTGAAAGTAACACAATTAACGGATGCCAAATGATATAGGTATTTCAAATAAAGGTTTCAAGTCACACTAATGTGAAGGCTTCTTCTCAATATAATAAACATGAATGAAAAATACCAAACATTATCAATGAAGGACATTTCAGATAAATGATTGATTACCATTGCTGACCACTCTAACTTCTTAATATTTTCGTGGAAAGTGAATTTTACAGGAAGAGAGTATCTCATCCACGCAAATAGAAGAAATCAGTCTGCGATATCTTTTATCTTGTAATTGAGAGATAAAATGAAGAGAAAATTTATTAAGGCGTATATAATGTGTTAGACTATGATCATCAAATAGATGAAATAATTGAAGGCCCTATGAACTTATGGGCTAAAGGGCAACACCTATGAAGTAGTTCATCGATTATCAGTCTGATAATTCTTTAACTCCTATTTTAAATGTTTGGGTTTTCTCTCGAATCATTCACTATTGCGTTCATTGGTCATATAAGCAAAACGATCACAAATAGATGCTTTACGTTATACTACCTTTTAAATAAAGATTCCTCATTTCAAGCCAATCCGAACTGAACTGTTTAGGAAAGATGATTGACTAAGTGGTTGGAACATAGAATACCTTAACATGATCATAGTCTGATGGTAAACATAAATGTACATAAATGGATGAGAGTAGAGTATGATGGAAACCACAAGTCACAACTAGATTCAAATCAATCGTATCTAAATTACATATTCTATCCTATTTCTTATATTTTTTACAAATTAACTGATTCGTATATAGTACATAGTAACGTCACACTTCGAACGAAACAATTGAAGCTGAGGACTGGAAAGTTTAAAATAATTCCAAGACACAAGTTTTAAAGGAAGATGAAAAGTAAATGAACCTACAGTACTGCAGCAAATCATCAACCACGCCATTTCAGATATTTAGTGCTAGACAACGATCATCACGTGGACTGAAACCGGAAATTTAACACACTCAGTCACGGTTAAAACCAACATTCAATGACTTCATGTCTTGATGATCTGGTTGCCTTCATCTTACTTCCAACCTAGTGCTGTGTTAGCATAATGAAATAGTTCGAAATTACTTTTGGATCTGATATATGTTTCATTCATAGTTAAATAACATAAACAATAAAATTAATCAAGTTAAACTGGCCAAGAGTTATTCGTTAAAGAATTTAAGGAACAAATTAAAGGTTTTTTTCTTCTTATCATTATATTGTTTGTTTCTTAAAAGAAAAATAAGTATTACCAAGACTGTTCTTCACATATTAACATTATATATTTCGTAGGTGTATAAGAGTTTGAATAACTGTAACTTATGTTCTTGATCGTAACAAATCTAATACTGAGAACTTCTAGCTCTAGAGCATAGAATAATGACCACAGGTTGAACGTATTATCTGTCTACTTTTGTACCGTTGCCTATTTTCATGGCACCATAATTAATTTGATAAAATACTGGTAGATTAAAGTGTTCGAACAGATGATTTACTTACAAAAATGGATTAATGAAGGAGTCAATGATATAGTTTTTTCCATATATAAAATATTCAACCAAAGTCATGCGACTTGTTACATTACAACTATTAAACAAGGACCAAAATTTCGTTTTGGTTGAACTATTTGTCAGTAACTTGTGTAGAACTTTTATTATCCTATTACTTTTTAATCTTGTGTTGGGGATTTTGTTTATAAAAATCATGAAAGCTTCACAGTCCGAACATTTAGTTCGGAAAACCCAAATTCACTACATTGAAAGTGAAGGTCACGAAACGGTGATGTTTCACATCTTCCTATCTTATGAGAGTGCATACTATTAATATCGTCCAACGTAAATGAAAAGGGGAAAGTCGAATGAAGAAATGCTGAATAAAACGAGATAGAAATTACTATCAAATATGTTTTTACTAACTATTTAATTCAAAATACAGTACTAGTGTAAGGTAGAAACCAGTAATAAGAAGACTCAGAATGGTCATGTTAAGACATTAGATTCATCTACCAAATTTTTCATTATTGATCTGAATAATCCATAGAAATTTTCATTTCTTAATCATAATTTATAACGGAAAATGTTTAAAGAATTAAAAAATGTTTGGTCTTCATTTCACGCTAATCTTTAAACATTCTATTATTCGATAGATTTTCTTCCTTTATTGGTTTGCTTATTTCCTCTAAATTATTATTATTATCGTTCGTATTCTCTATTTTCACCTTGTCAGCTTGATATCATTGACATCTCCTTTCTGAATTTTTAGATGTGGTGATTTAGATCGATATACTGTTCAGTCACGCCCTACCTTGTTTCTTTTTGTTTATTCAATTTAGAATTAGTTTACTTCAATAAGTACAAATTATCAATTTGGCTTCAGATTTAACGTCTTGTTATGGGATACATTTTTAGCAATATTATGTTTTAATAGTCAATTTTTCACTTCATCTTATTTGTTGTATCATAATGGAATATCGCATTATTCTCCGTTTCATTTACATAAGGAAAGTTATTATTGACTAATACACATGAACAATATTAAGTATAACTGAGAAATTGTCCGATTTTGACCAGTGCGAAAAATCTTCTGAAGAATCATGTTATTACTATTGAAGGTTAAGAAATAGTTGATAGCTTTACACAAATTTTGTACTCTGTAATTTATTTTGTAAAGATATACTTATCCACTGACCTGTAATGCTGTTAGTGGAATAAGTTGTACAGCGTCAGAGTTCATCCTCCGGCCATCAGATGAAATCAATTAGCATCAA